TGCGCTGGCGCTATCGTCCACCGCCATTGGCGGTGAGAAGGTTCTTGAAGGCTCCGTGCGTCGAACGCTGCTACGATGTGAGGCATTGTCTGGGTACGCTCAGGACATGGCATTCACCTGTGAGAGCAGCCAGTCGAATACTCCGCCTGCAACAAGGCGGTTCTGTTCGTGTTCATGGTTGAAAGGAGAACGACCGGAGCGCACGGCCGCCATTCAACTTCCCCGAAACACATCCGGCACGCGCACACGCGCCAATTACGTCCTTAGCGCGGTGAACCCGTTCATATCGCTTCATGTTGGTACTGGTTTATCCTGTACGGGGGAGTTGTGGAAGAATTGCCTGTCAGCTATACTATGCGCCGATTGAAAGGGGCGAGATTGGTAGTTCCTGTAGGGCATCCGTTGCACGCGGGAACGCGGACGCGATATATGACGACTGATAAACTGGTGACGGTGATAACAGAACTCGCTAGTACTCCCAAGCCCCAGGAAGGCTCGATTATGATGTGATAGTGCTGTGCATGGCTTGTGACCGTGGTCCTTCATCGTTCACAGAGATATCGACGGGCAACTGTCAGGATGGCGCTTTCAATGTTGAGCGTTCAGCACACAATTGAGTTATGAATGACAATCCAAAGGTCGCTTGGCACAGAAGTCGCATGTCATTCATTGGTTCACTATAGACATAAGTAGCGCTAGTGCGGGCTCATCTAACACCTTGAAGCTTGTGAAGACTCTCCTGCTGGAACAGATGGCGCTAAAGCTCACTACTCAGTGAGGGCTTGGCAAACGAGGAGGTTGGGCGGGAGCAGGCGCGCCGACCGGGAGGAGCAAATAATTTCTCTAGTACTGTGTGTGCGCGAATCGTTGCAATGGTGACCAGGGCAACGCATGCCGCTGGTAGGAATGGGATATATCGAGATAACTGAGCCCACGCAGTATACCGTCGGCGAAGCGTTGTAGATGTCTACAAGCAGAACATGATGATCAGATCAATGACCTAAGAAGTGGCAAACGTAGGATGCGCACCAGGTACAACTAGGGAGTCAAGAATCGCGGGACGCCGATTGGACTTGAACAATTTCCATCAGGTCCTACACACTTCTCCGTTTCCCGTAGGCTATACTGAGAGCCGCACAGCTACTCGTAGAGACCGTCCCGTCACATAATGTCCACCAGCGCTGCGTGCAGACCAACTCGTGTGGATCGATCTGAAGGTTTGGTGACAAGAAGCGCGCTGTTCCGTGATTCAGAAACCACTGCAAAAATCCCATTCACGTGATCTCGGAGTAAACCCGGCTTTCACCTGCATTCGCTCGCGCGCGCCCTACATCATAGTGCTCCTTGCTTCATGCCACCATCCCTCTACACGATGCTTAATATGATGAACCTCAAGCGTCGACCCTTCATCACATAGGGATCGTCCAACTCCGTAAGCTTTCCTTCAGGGATACACCTCTCAGCGGTCGTAGCCCCGTCGTTATAGTAGACTGCTCCGTTCCTACCAATGAGCCTCACGCAGAAGTGATTGTTTCCGGAATAGATGAGCCCTCTTGTTTTGTACACCACCTTCTTTCCGTCCTCGGTGGTCACTGTCGTCTGGTTTTGTAGTTTCGGTTCCGCCACTCCTCGTCCATGTTCTAATCCGTCTTCCAACAGTAATGCGAGGAACGGGGGCGGATTGTCTGGGTTCAGGAGGACGCGCTCACTCACAGACGTGTGCGTACACGCCTCACAGCCTCTATTGGATGCTCTACTGAACCGCTGCTTGATCTCGGCCGCCAGCGTCTGGGACTTCGCTTTAGCGGGAATCATCCACACTGGAGTCTCGATTATATCAGTCCCTTCTCGTTGACAGCGTCCGCATTTCGTGACCTGTGTCATCATATTTCCACCTGGGTGCTCCAAGAGCCTTTGCAGTAGTGCTGTCAGGTCAGTTGGTCTACCATCATTGGGAAAGCAGTCTGGGCTGATGAGATTCAAGCGTGTCTGCAAACTCTCCCTCGCCAACTCGGCCTGGTTTAACGTCCCCGCGACAAGATCATTTCTCCAGTAATTGACGACTTCAGTGAAAATCTCATTGACATGTACCACGTCTTGCCACTTGCGTACATTCAAGTTATAGATGTTCAAGAAGATTGTCAGAGCTGAGTCGTAAGCGCAACTCTGCGTCGAGGAATCCCATGCCATCCCGCGAAAAGGTTCCGGCGCAGATGTCCTCTTCTTCTTTGCAGCAGGTTCAACAATGTCCATTTTGTTCCGGATCACAGGATCGGCTCGCTTTCTCTTTCGGGAATCGTTCTTTTTCGCCGCATCTTCAGTGGCGCTTCCTGCTTCGTTAGGTACTGACTGCGCCGCGCCGACGGTTTTCCAGACAAAATTGTCGTCATCATCGTAGTCTATGACAATCGGGGTCGCATTACTCCATTTCAGCTCACTATGAACGTGGTCCGGGCAAGAGCGCTGACCGTAGATTCGCAGATATGACCTCAACAAAGTGGACCGCGTATTGCCTCCAACTCCAGGCTTCAAGGTACCCTCCCACCTGAGCCGTGTAATCTCACTTAGGAGCTCCAGCTCACGGAATTCCTGTCTTAGGTACCCTGATAGGCCACCAGTCACCTTCGACAAGCTACACATGCGGAAAATCACAGTACCTTTGATTGTGGATGCTCGGGACAGACATGTGTACACCGACTGGTGAGTCCTACAGTCCTCAAGATCGACTATGTTGATGGGTCTAGTACGCCCTTGAGACGCGTAGTCGGTCATTGCAAAATTCGGGAGAACCGGCACCTGATCTCTGGTAATTGAGAGCACTGTATCATCGGGAAATTTGACAGTAACTGGCGCCTTTTGCCTGCAGACAGGTACAACATTGGTTGGCAGCCCGTCAAGTTTCACCTCGGTCGGCGGATTGGTAAGTTTCACGAACAGAACATCGAGAACGTTCTTGTCATTGACGCGGCGCGACTTCCAGGTGTATACCGTCCCTTCGGCTCCGTTGGTCACGTTCAACTCCGTCGCATCGTTCTTCTTCAAGATGACTGGCATGTTCTTGCACAGCGACAATTTTCCTGGGATATGACTTGTATTTCCTGGTAGGATTTGAAGTATCTTGTTCGCTTGTTCGTCAGGAATCAACACACCTGCTCTTTTAGGATTGTGCTCGAGGGTTGACTTATCTTTCTTAGCGCGGCTATTGGAGAATGCGTCGACGGCGTAGAAAGTTGTGAGTTCTTGATTAGTGGCATGTGCGAACTTGTACGATCCTATCTCGTTCAATAGATCCCTGTTCACGTTTCTGCAGGTGATCATAGACGCGTGGACAAAGTCCGGGTGGTTGAGATCGATATCCGGATGATTGGGCCTTGCAACCCGTGAGTGCATGAGCTCGATATCTTCGCGATCACAGCGGTTCATGCGTAGATTAACCAGGAGCTTCCGGAATTTGATATCCTCCTCACTTGCGTTCCGTTGCCTCATGTTCTCTTTGAGCATGACCACCACTGTCACTTGATGCCAGAGTGCCTTTCCGATGCTTCTCTTCTGTGTTGTGGCGGAGTTGGTGGTATGAATGACGCTGCTGACAAGGCTCGAATACAGCGTAGGTCCCGATGTATGTAACGGCGGTAGCTGCGCAAAGTCTCCAGCAAATATGATACTTTTGCCAGCAAAGGCGTCGTCGTCGATCCTCATGGCCAGATTCATCTGCGAGCTGATGTTGTACAAACTTCCACAGTCCATCATGGAGACTTCGTCAAAGAAGACATAGTCCACGTGTTTGATACGCTGTCGAATACTCTCTAGGGTGCTGGCGCCCTTCAAGAGACCTTCGGATCTCTCACCAGACTCGTGATCGAGGCTATTACTGCCCCTAAACCCTAGTACTGAGTGATACGTTGATCCGGAGACAAGCGCGGCGGCTGAACCCGTCGGGGCCAGGATTAGAAAAGCGTACTTCTTCCCCCTGGCTTCGAAGAAAGCTATGAGAGCTTTGATGACTTGCGACTTTCCCGTCCCAGCCATACCACCAATATACATCTTGAGCGGATCTACGAGTGTTCCCAGGGATGCGTGATTGGCGATGATTCTGAAGGCACGTTCCTGTTCGCTATTCAGGCTGAAGTCTTTCACGATCTTGTCCATGGCAGCTTGGATATCACCTTCCTCCGATCGGTAATCGCTAGTCATATACCGGTGGTCGACAATCCGTACTTGGTCCTTCCAGAAGCTGTCTCCCGATTTGTCTGCAGCTGTAGACAGCCCGTTGCTTGCGGCCTCTGCGGCAGCCTGTTTCTCTGCGAGGACAGCAGCTCTCTTCGTGGCCAACAACTCTTGCCAACCCTTCAGTGTTCGACTATCTACGTCTATTGCTTCGTCTTTCCTGTGACAACTTGGTCCCTCCTCTTCACCCGTCTCCATAATGGGCTCATCGCCGCTCTTTTGTCTGGACAAGACATCTGACCACCCAATTGCATCTAATGCAATCCTGGTTCGCGCAAGAAGAAGAGAATTCGCGGCAGCACGGTTGCCCAGATGATCTGGTTCGAACGCATCGTCTATACTGCTCAAACTAGACTCCGCCAAAGCAAGACCATGTTCAGCATGGGCTTCCTTGTCCAGTTCATGCACAAAGCGACCTCCTAACCAATGCAACCCGTCGTTCTTCGCTTGGCTCACACGCTGCGCTCTGAAATCGTCCCTCGCATCGTTACATTCATAGCGAATATGAAAGAATCCCATAATTTCCCGTTGGCGGGCCGTGAACTCGAAGGCCTCGAATGCTTCTTGCCAGGTTTGTTCGGCAGACTTCAGTTCCTTAGGGTCTCTCCACGGCTTGAACATAGTCAACATAGTCATGGCGTACCATTCAACGTCTCCTTTGTCCCTTCGCGGCAGAGTGCCTCCGACAAAGTTCGGGATGCTGCATGCATCTTCGTCCAACACCCGGATCCGGTAGGAGTCTCTTTGAGGATGGTCCTTGGTAAAGAGAACACTGTTCTTGCTTCGCGAGCGACGGACCTGGTCGCGCTCTTCATCGCGTTCATCATCGCTGTCTTCTACCTCATAATCCTCATCTAGATCATCATCAGCTATCAATGTACTATCGGTCTGATACCCATCCTCGTCCGCATTCTCATCATCGACGAGTGTTTGTTGAGACAACGGGTCATGGTTCCCAGAGTTTGTGACTGTTGCTTCTAGAGCGCTGCTAGACCCAGTTCGATTATTGACTTTGCCTCTAGCCCGCCGACTACCCCTCATACCTTGCGTCAGGGTATCAGCATTTTGCGGATCCCGCAACTCTCTATCGTCCGCAGGTGAGGAGTCCCTCTCAAGAGAATTCGCTTTCTTCTTCCGCTTGGGAATCTTCTCCTTCACCGTGCTTCGCATCCAATCATAAAGGGACATATCTTTCAGTTTTTCTCCGCGAAGATTATAATCAATGATAGGGGAAAGCGCAACTACGCTGTCCTTTCCCCTGGCGAGTACAACCACGGGCTCCTCCCTTCTATCGTCTTCAGATATCATACCCCACACACGCTTGACTTCCCCGACAAACATTCTCCAGTAGAAGGGACGGAACTTGTAGTTGGTATAGTGATCTGGGTGACCCAGGAGGTATGCGCAGGCCATGGGGCTACCTATTTCCTGTTTCACGGTTAACGCATTCACAATCTGCACCATCAACTTGCGAGCTTTCTCTGCCCGTGACGTAGTGCCTTGGAGATACTCGCTGTTTCGAGTGAACACACTCTTGATTATCTCCATCATGGTATGAGTTCGCAAGCCGGGTTTTGTGATGTAGTCTGTCGTATATGCGATGACGGCCTTGAGTGCGGTACCTGAGAGAAGGCTAGTAACGTCAGTGTTACTCATCATCATGTAGGTCAGTACTTCATTATAAGTATTGACCATTGGCTCACCGTGCTTCATCTTCAACCACCCTGACTCTTGATCCACCGTCGTCTCCGATGATATCTCACGAGGAAATCTTGCCTTGCACTCGGGATAGCGTGGGTTACGACAGTGCCCTCGGGCGCAATTATGAAGGTTGTATCGGTGTACAACTTCGTCAACCGTATGCGCGAAATGCGAGTTCCATACATTGAGCCTCCTGCAGGCTACACAGTCCGGATAGAGACTAGGTTCGACGTGCTCCGCGCACTCTCGTGGTGGTTTCTTCGGGACGTTGATTGTGGGATCATCGCGTTTGGCACGATTATGCTTTGCGTGCATCCAGCGGTCCTCCATCTCAGCATTGACACCGGTAAGGTAGCTTCCACGATGGGCCCCTTCCAGATAATCGACCAGGCTTCTCTGGAAATCGCCATCCTTGCTCATCAAGCGATCTCTTATCTGTTGCGGGGTTAAAGCACCCTTGATCCAGATCATGGTATGTAGATGCAGCGTCAACCGACCCTGCTCCTCAACGGTTCCATAGTAACCTTCTGTGTCGCCAAAGAGGCCAGGGGAATCACCGTCAATACGTAGAACGTGCTTGATGAAAGACTCGACCATGAACTTGAAGAAGCGGGCGCATGCTGTAGCATTATTGCCAATCAACTGGGCTCGATGTTTATCGTCCAATATCTGGGGAAACAGTGTTTTATCCTCTGCAGCGTAGTACACACTTAAAGGATGTCTATGATCCATGGGCGCAAATGTGACGAACCACGATGGCGCCCCGCGTGCGGCAATCAGAGACCATATCTCGTTTCGCATGTGCCGCTTGTTTGTTCTTGAACCTTGTACGAACCTACCAACAAAGTCCAGGTCGTTGATGAGATTAAAGCACGACTTCTCGGAAGCATTTGCTAAATCGAACTGACCACCTTCCTCAAGTTTGCGGATGACATCGTCCATGGCGCCTACGTCGGTCTTCAGGATACGGTCTGCAATATCTGAGAAGTTTCCCTTCTTCGCGGTGACAAAGCTCCCAGTTGTACTACTCTTCACCTGTTCATGGTTCAGAGCAACGAGGGCGAAGACCGGATCTCTCTGGAAGCGCTTGTCATGATACAGTAACAGGGCTCGTTTTCGTTTCACGTCGCCGACCACGCTGTGCCCGTTCTTGTTACCAACGCCACCTAGACCGTATGGGAAAAGCCATGGAAAACACTTAGGGTATAACTGCGGATTGTTGTATATCGTTTCGGGTTCCGCTGATCGGCCAACGGCTATTGCGTGTCCGCCTTGCAACAAGTGCGCCTTGGCAACGCGTTTCAACCGCTCATAGTCTACATCGGGAGACATCAGATCGTCCGCTGTCATGCCATGCACTGTCAACGGACACTTACCTTCTTCAACGGAGGTCCAATCTTCCATCTCGAAAACAGCTTTGTTCTCCAGTTCGATGTCTCTAGACGGCAGCCTCCAATCTGCTATCACAGGCGGACCTTCTTCTGGATATTCATTGAGGTTCTCGTAGGATATGTCCAAGTCGCTATAATCACAATGATTCAGCTTCAACCATTCCAAGGCCGCTCGTACTTTGTTTCTGCGGACAAATGACGGCAAACGGCGGTGCATATCCTCAGTGGGTTTAGTCGGGCCGATGAAGATGAAAGCAATCAGTTCCTCGAACTCTTCCCTCTTCGGTGGCAGCTTCTGGTAGAGCTTCGGCGTTGGCACGGCAAACATCACAGCGTTAGCTCTCAGCTTGTACTGTCCAGAGGCTTGGACTTTGAGGACGCAAGCATTATGGCGCACACGCGCGATGAGCATTTGTTCCATAAGGGTCAGGTCTCGCAAGGGTTCGGGTACATCTCCTAGCCAATTCCCATTCGCGAGAGCGAGTTCGGGTACCTTTCCCTTAGACAGAGAACGCAGACATGTCTTACACACCTTGGAGCATTGCGCGTCCAGAACCGGACCCCGGATTGGTTCCCGGATGTCGGAGGACCTGAGTCTTTCTCGTCGCGTTATGTACCCGCTGGCATCCTCTAGTAAGCCGCGATCGAATAGATCGTCTGTCAAACTCACCATCTCAGAGGTCTTGGAGAGTGTTGCGCATACAGTGCACCCCTCTTCAAGCAACTTGTCCGCACGCAGGTCCTCACAGAAATCCCGGATGATATCTCTTTTGAGGTCGTCAGTCGCCGGTGGAGGAGGGAATGCCGGCATCTCATCTCGCTCTACAGCTGGGGATGAGTCTGAAACTGGCCGTGCACGCTCATGCAAAAGGAAGAAGGTAGTTGCATGTTCACAACACGGTTGTCTCAACTGTTCGTGTTCCAGTATATGGCGCTTATTGTTTGCAATAGAACTACGCGCTCCCAAGAACATGCCGTGTAATTCCATGACTTCTGTCAAGTCGACGTTCGTGAGATTGTCCATCAAGCGTGAAAGAGGCATGCGTACGCGCAACTCCCCGTCCACATCCATTGATCCTACACCCAGCTCCCCTGCCACATGCCCTGAGTAAATATAAGTCGCATCATGCTCATATTCTCCGCCTTGGAGGCGGAACTCACTTAAGTCAGATCCTTTCCATAGCTTCAATGGACGACCTGCCCCGCATACGGCAGGAAGGATATCTTGGCAGGTTGCAGTGTTATGGCGCCTTTGCCTGTGTGACGGGCGGCTCAGAATGATCGGCCAGATGCCGTTGGTACGTTCGTACTCGTTGCCAACATTTCTAGGGCATCGTAAGTAACGAGCTGCCTTGTCAGCACCGGCACGACCCGTGAATTGTGGCGGAACACGCAGACCAGGCTTATTGCGTACTTTGCACGGCGTCTTCAAGTCTTGGATGCGGCGTAGAATACTTGATCTATGACGCTGTAGCTGCCGATAAGCACACGGTTCAAGAAATGGTGCGATCTCTTGGAATCTCCCAAGCATTCTGTCGTTCAACTGCTCGATAAAAGCGACGAAGGGGCTAGCTTTAGAGTAACCCATCTGTACCGGCGGCGTGTGGACTGGTGCAACCCCATGCACCCAATCATATCGCAGAGTTTCATGGCGACAAGTTAGAGCCAACGGGTCCACGGCGAAGCCGTTTGCATGAAAAAACTCCGAACCCAGTACCAAGGAGCAACCATCCGCTATCTCTTTTGACAAGAAGATTCTCGTCACTCTCGACGAGACCCATCCGTCTGGGGAATCAATCGTGACATTGACCCATTGCATATCGCTATATAGCGCGCCTTTACCGCGTTGCAGTGCACCAGAATAGACTTTCAAGCAAAGCTTTTTCGCCACCGCGGGGCATATGACGCTCATCGTTGTCGTGGCATCTATTGTTGTGCAAACGGAGACTTCATTACGACGACCATGAATTACACACATCATCCGTGGCTTCCAAGCCAGCTCATATGCTCCAGTCGACAAATCGTCGCCCATGATCTTTCCACCGTCCCTAGGCCATTGACGTGCGCGGCGGCTACAACTGGAAGGGATGCCTTCCTGCCAAATTGGGGTCCTGGGAGTAGGAATACTCGATGTCCATGATGGCGTTGATGCCGCTGCACAAGCCAGTCTCGAATATTTCTTTCTGTTCCCGTTTGGTTGTGTATCTCGTGCTTCGAGCAAGCTCGCTGGCTGAAGCGTGCTCGGCGGCGGGGGCATGCTCGGC